CTGGGGAGCCCAGAACTGGACACAGTACTCCAGGTGAGGCCTCACCAGGGCTGAGCAGAGGCACAGGATCACTTCCCTCGACCTGCTGGCAACACTCTGCCTAATGCACCCCAGCATACCATTGGCCTTCTTGGCCACAAGGGCACACTGCTGGCTCATGTTTAACTTGTTGTCCACCAGCACTCCCAGGTCCTTCTCGGCAGAGCTACTTTCCAGCAGGTCAGCCCCCAGCCTGTCCTGGTGCCTGGAGTTATTCCTGCCTAGGTGCAGGACCTTGCACTTGCCTTTGTTGAACTTCAGGAGGTTCCTCTCCGCCCAGCTCTCCAGCCTGTCCACGTCCCTCTGAATGGCAGCACAGTCTTCTGCTGTGTCAGCCACTCCTCCCAGTCTAGTATCATCAGCAAACTTGCTGAGGGTGCACTCTGTCCCAGGGTGCATCGCCACAAACGAGCCAGGAAACGGGCAGTTCGGAGGAGGACGCGTGCCATTGGCAGAAGGGAGTAGTGGGCCGCTGTCTGAAGGACATCACAAGCAGTCTGTGCCTCTTGCATTGGCTCCAGGGCAGGCCAGGAGCTGGGGAAGGTAGTAACCATTGACCGTCGGTTATAACGAGCTCCATTAGAAGTGCAATCAGTCCCGTCTCTCCTTGCCACAATTAACAGTGGCGGATAACGCGGCACGCCTCTCGGCAGCCGCGCATAAAGCTGAGCGTTAAGCAGCGAGGACGACCGAAATCAGACCTGAGATTGCATCCGTGAAGAATAAATGAGGCTCACTCTTCAGCAGAAGCCAAGCAAACTGATGCTCAGGATCAAGTCTAAAATAATTTTAAGAGCTGTAAAAAAGGAGCCTTTGGGGCAGGTCTGAAAGAGGGCTTGTAATTCTGCCTCTCTTAACCATGCACTAGACGGAGAGAGGCATCGCATCCATGCCCCGCTCTCTCTCCCTAGCCAAACAGCAGCCTTAACTGCTCCTTCCTTTTCTTCGGCACGGGCCAGGCAACCCTTCGCACCAGCCCTTGACCCTCCCAAGCAGACCTGAAGCGGTCAGCGCTAGTGCTCAAATACCTGGCGTTTACTTAGCATCTGCTGCAGGTGCGACGAGACGCCGAACGCGGCACCGTGGAAAAAATTCGCCTGCCCGGCCCGTGGCGCGGGGACGCCGCAGAGCGTGGCTGCTGCGTGGAGGACAGCTTCCCTTTGCCCTTGCAGCTGCTGCCTCTCCTGCCGGGGACAGTATTTTCCACCAAGGCACTGAGGGCCAGTGACAAAGAAGGGGGTAAACAAAGCCCCGAGTGACGCCTGCCCGTTGGTGTGATCTCCAGCCCAGATAAGCCTGCCTCTAAATAGACTTGCCCTCCTCCCCTTCCGCAAGGCCAGCCCCTGAGATGTCCCCCGGATTTCCGAACCAGTGCAACGTTCCAGCAAAAGGCCAGAAAAGGGGGAAAAAAACGCTGCCCTCGCTGTCGAATCACAGGCAGCACAAACCACTACTGAAGAATGACATTAAAATCCCATTAAAACAGCAGAAGCGTTCAGGAGCTCTGCACATACTGTGAAATATATATTTTTGGCACCTTTACTACTCTCTTTGGAAGCTGGAAGAGAAAACGGGATTCACCGGGATGCCTACAACACGAGCGATCGTATCTCTTGTCTCCGGTTTTACATGACGAATGAGCCTATCAAGTAAAACGCAGCGTCTACGAGACGCGAGGGAGAACAGCAGCTGCATGGTAACAAGAAACTAGAGTTTGTTCCAACCATCTAATCTCAGGTATCTACACGTTAGCAGCAGCAGCTAAGAGCATTTAAGTCCTTCGGGCGAAGAGAAAACAGGCACCACGCACAAAAAACAGCAGTTCAAGTTCTCCTCCTGTCTTTTAACCAGAGAGACCTGATGGAGTTCGCTCCTAAAGGAGTAAGAAGATGCTGCCTTATGCCTTTCGGGAAGAAGACTGTGCTGCAGGACAGCTTGACAAAAGTCCATTTTAAAAGGTTCTTGCCCAAGGGTCTCCATTGAATGAGCGCGGTGTCGGCTGTAAACACCGCCTGGTGCCAACGGAGAGGAAACGGTCAAAGCTGTGATATCGTGCAAGGGTTACAGGACCTGAAAGTGAAACCAGCCTCTCTCTTTCCACCGTCAAAACAGAGCAAAGTGGAAACAAGCACAAAGCAACCCAGCTTACGACTTTCCGGGTCCGATCTTAAAAACAGCCTTGAGGCTTACAACTCATTTTCACTTGTTTCCTTTAATACACCAAAAGCTCTTTGCAAAAAGCCACAGCTGTTTCTGCAGAATATAATACCTCTCGCTAAATCGTTCTTCCCGGCGAGGCTAACCGAACGACGCAGCGGCCGTGGGCATCTCCCCGCTCGACAGCGATAACTGCACGGCGCCCCGGACAGGCTAAGACCACCGATAAATAGTATGAGAAGAGCCGTTTTGCGGCCGGTTGGCTTTCTACCGATGTTAGGCTTGATCTCAGGGGAGGAAAGGAGGACACCTGTATAAGGCGCATTATATGTTTAAAAAAAAAAAAAAAAAGCACAGCACGGAGATAACAAGATCGCGGTCAAACTAGCGGCCCTCTGACCTGCTTTAGCAACACAGCACGAGCAGCTAAAGCAAGACCGCGGCTTGGCAAACGCAACTATCTAGAGGATAACGGTTTTGCTCTACGCAGCGCCGCGACAAAAAAGAGCGCTCTGACTGCCGCTCCGATCGAGGTCGGCCAAATCCGCCCCGCAGCCAGCCCGCTTCGCGCCAACCACGCACAAGGCAGAAACTTCAGACGGGCACCGAGGCAACCCGCTCGCAACGCCGTCAGCGCTTTCCAGCTCCCGTCCTCTCAGGACGTTAAACCGCGAAAGAGGTTTCTGAAGGATTATCTCACGGCCGGGCGCAGAGCGCGCTCGGCGGAGGAGGGAACGCCACCAACACGACGCCCCCCAGGGCCGGCCAAG